ATGTATTATTTCTCTGTTTTAATAAAAAAAACCGTACACATCCATATTATTATTATTTTTAATATGCAAGTGAGGAATTTATGTATAAAACATCGTGATTTTATTTGCAATTACATTCTTATACGGGCTATACTAGGATTATTATAATGTGGGTTATATATGCAACCCGTTTCACCGGAAACCAGATTTCACAATGATGCAGGTGACCCGAGTGGCAATTTTGCATCCAGTTTGAAACTTTAATCTAAGGTATCTGTATCTACGACATCAAGAGACGAATCAGCAGCCGCTTCATTGTTTGATACATTATCCGATTCTTCTGAGTCAATTGATGGTAACCAAAATGCCTATTAAAAATTTAAGTTTAAACATACGTTATATTAGTGAAATTGATGTTATCCAATAATCCATAATATAAATCATTTTTTTAAAAATATATATTTATACCAAATCAGTACATGCGCTGACCATCATAAGCCTTGCTGGATTAAATCTTACAACCTGGGTTGGCCTAACATGATGCTCTAACGTATGAATAGGCCTTAAATCAATCCCATCCGATATAATGGCAGATGTGCTTAAGGACGTTCCTGTATCCCAAAAGTTTATCTGACCATCTTGAGATCCTGTTACACATCGATATGTTTTTTGACCAGTCAGAACATAGGCAACGATAAAATGACGAATAATAAAATTATATATCACCTGCTATTATGTAACGACCATCAGGTGTGAAGCTTGTTTCCTCACCACCCAAAAAAGATGAACTATTATTGAGCCCAACATGTCCAACCAATCGAGCCTTTAATTCACCTGTATGAGCATGAACTATATAATGAACGTCTCCTGCCGTAGTTACTAATATTTTATCATCATCATTACTAAATTTAAGTCCTGTCCATTCTGGAAATAAAGGGGGGTTTGGATAAATGCTTGGGGCCATATAACTATCAAAAATGTTAAATGTACTGAAAGGGGCCTGAAGAGATATAATGCATGTTATAAATCTTTTCCCATAATAAGCAGATATAAAAAAAAACCGTATAAATTATTAACCTTATCATATTGCCGCACATCGTACAACCGTATAGAGTTATCAAGATTTTGAAGACCAATCGCAAATACGCGTCCAGAAGGGTCGAACGCCACGCAAGGCCTTCCTGCTTGAACGTGAAGACAACCCTATAATATAAAAATATTAGTTAGGAACGATAATAAAATTTGATCGAAACTATAAATGAACAAGTTATGATAAAACAAATTCGGTACAATTTCATTAGGCTGTCTTAAATCCCAGAATTTTACACCTTCATTTATACTTCCAGATAAGAACAGATCATTAGAGGGTGACATTTCTAAGGAGACCACCCTAATATCAAGTTACAAATAAGATTTTATTTTTATTTGGCATATAATGAATCTACTAATGTTTACCTATTTTTATGACCTTCAAAATATCGTATGTATTGATTAACATGTAGCGATAAATATCTTAATGTATCTGATCAAATTTCAAAAATTTCAAATTAAAAAAAAAAAAAAAAAAAAAATTGAAAATAATTTTCAACATATTAATGAAAGAAATGTCATTGATGGCGAACCAGTTACCGTTTTCTTTAGTCGAAGCATATATAATATTAGTGTTTAGATGTGTGAATCTGGTAAGGTGTATTCCAAATTTTTTACTATACAATAATTTTTTGTGCCTTTCATGTATAAATAATTATTTTTTTATAGGATAAAGTATTAGCATCATGCAATTAGGTATAGAATTTCTTCATAATTTTTAATTAAACCAAATTTAACACTTTAAATTGTCATAAAAGCACATATTAAAGTTTATTTTATAAGCAAAAATTAGATGGGAGCACTTAAAACTGAATAACTTTTTTAAAATTTCGAGAATACGCGAATTAAATACAATTATAATAGCTCAATAGCAAGTTACACGTTTTTCGTATAAAAAAAAAAAAAAAAAACTCGAAATAATAAAA